TAGCTGGTGCGTGGGGCTCGTTAGGCAGCTTACAGAGTTCGCTGGCATGTTGTCCTGAGCAAAGCAGTGTTAGACCCGCCGGAGAGCGGCGTGCCGCTGGTGGGGCTGGTGATTCTCATGTGGGTCGGAGGAGCCCGGTCACCAGAACCAGACCAGAACGGGGTCTTTTCGATCCTGTGGAAGGCTTTGGCCGCTAACGGCATGAACGTCGCTTTTGGAGCGCGGTAGGTTTGTCGTTGGGTCAGGAGTGAACTTGGAGCGCTAACAGCTTTTGCTTTGGTAAATAATAATTCGTTGAAGCGTGCTTAAGACTTCTAACTCCTGTCTTGCAGATGCATTTTGTGTCGTCGGGCCTTCGTTTGGTCTGGAGGGCAGTGTTATGTGAATGAAGACAGTCATAGGGTTGGTCAGTCTGTGTTAGTTACACAGCGTCGATAGAGCCTGTGACATGGGACATCTTGATGACAGACGTGTGTGGGTTTTACTGGGGGCAAAAAACAGGGCAGAGCGGATCTCTCAGAGGTAGTGGCAGCAGGTGTTGTAAGGTATTCAGCGTAACGCGCTGCCTAGGTCACTGAACACAGGGCCAGTCCCGGACAGTTGGTAGACACGGAATTTTGCAGCGCTACTACGTATTGCTTTGGACGTGGTGGGTAAAATAATTTAGCTTTGTCATTTCTGTGTTTTTCATATTGCTTGGATGAATTTATGTGTATTTCCTGAAGAAAATTTTGTTCCCGCTAGCAGTTGAAGCAGGTATATACAGATACTATTAATATTTAAAACAGAAAATGTATGGGTGGTACTTCATCTTCTGTTGCTATCTTGGAGAGGCTTAGGAAATATGGTAGAACTGAGACTTAATATTTAGAACAGAATGTTTTTTCTTTGACTTGTAGAAGCAAGGTTTGAGTTTGGTGTTAGGCAGCCGGGTGAGCAGCTGGCTGCGCAAGTGGTCCTTGCTCCTTTAAAGTCATTGCGATCTGACAGAAGAGCTTTCCTCTGCAGGGCCAGTTAGAGAGTAGAGGCTTCTGGATATGAAAATGGGCCCCTGAAGAAGTTGAGGGGATAACACGAAAAACACATGTAGTAGAAAACAGAAAAATTGCATGTTGCTTTATTTGGTTTAGCGTATTATTAAAGAGTTTCTCTTGAAATGCTGTATAAAGAATTACTCCTGATCCCTATTATATTCTTCATTCTGTAGCTTGTGGAAACAAATCCACAACCAACAGTTGAGTGTTGTGCGAATTACTTTGCCTTTTTCTGGAGGCAGAAATAGCTAGTTTCCTACAGCTTTTATTAGTATCTTAAATATGCATGACTATGAATGAAACTGATGAAGGACAGCGTAAATCATCTGCATCTTGGCGAAAGTCTGTAAAGCCAATACTAGACCTATTCAATGGCAAAGACTTAGAGGAGAATAAAATAACAGTTAACAGCCACATACTGAAGGTAGTAAAGAAGTGGGGGAGTAGAGGGAACAGTGCTCCTGTAGCATTTCTGACTGTTTAGAAACTGTATGCGGAGAGGGGAGCAGAAGTGATGGATAAGAAGGTCACTATGACTAAGTGCTTTAGTGGGACTCCTGTGCTCTTAGCAGACCACAATAGTTTATGAATGAGTAAGTGTTTTTATCTAGGTGTTACTTCTTGACGATCAATTTTTCCCTGTACTTTGTAACAAGTGGTAAGATATTATTATTATATTAGTATTTAATACTACTATGAAGTATCAATATTAGTACTTAATGCTTAATAATCCTTCTCCTTTATTTAAAAAAAAAAAAAAAGCTTTTTGTTAGTCCCCCTGCCTAAGGTAGTTTGCCTTTACTGAAAACTAGTTTTTCTGAGTGACGTAGTCTCATCTGACAGTTCTCTCTGTATTCAGTGCTGTTGAACTACCACGTATGAGTTAACATTTCAAGAGGTTCATATTAGAGTTTGAGGCTGTTTAATCCAAAGTGTTTTTAGTAAGTTCATGAATGTAACCAACTTAATGACCAGCCTATTATGGCATAGATGTACAGTATTCTGTTAGCAGTGGTGTGGTATGGATATGCTTTTTTACTAGCTATTTCGTTGAATAACTGGATCATTGGCATTTTGGGGGGAGGTGGAGAGGAAACAGTTTGTGTGTGTCAGGCACAAACTGTTTCCTGTTTACCCCATGCTCACACACCCCTTCTGAATTTTGCGTTTGGATTGTCTTAGAAAGCTAGGTCCTGGGCTTGCAAATGACTTAAGGTCCTTTTAACCAAAGCAAGTTGCAGTACTGGTCCCAAAAGGCTTAAGTTGCAACTATATACTCATGAATCTTTGCTAGATGTCCTGTGTTGATATAGTTGTTGCCCTCAAAACACTTCTCTGTGATCTTTGACAGTTTTTTTTATTGCAGCGTTTTAAAGGGAAACCTATGTAGCATTATAATCTAGTTCTTTTGCAGAAATAATTTATGTAATGCTGTCTAAAGCAACTGCGTCCTGTTGTATTGAATTAAGTGTAAAAGCTGAAACTGTACAATTACTAGACGCTTAAATTGTTTTTTGTGTGTGTTGAACACTTCTCTTTTGATTATTTTTTAGCCTTAACTCAAGAGTCAGTATATTGTTGGATAGAGTTTGTTTTTAAGGCTTATTATTCAGAGATTGGTAAAACAATCACTTGGTGTAAGGCTTGATGGAGAAAATGAGTTGTCGTCTATTTTGGTGGAGGAGATGGAAGCAGCAAGGTGAAAGCATGCAGGATAGCGACTGACGTATGTGGAGCAAAGGCCTCCTGTTTATTTCTTGTTGTAGAAGTGAATGTATAATGAAACTGAAGTTTAGAAAACTGAGGTGGGCAAAAACATGGAGAAGTCTGTCCGTTCCCAAGTTGTCGGTGTTGTACTTGGCCCTGATTTAACTCTTTTAGTTAGAGCAACTCCAATATTGAAAAGAGATAAACAAAGCCTTTCTAGTTCAGACCTAGCAGCATGTTGGACATAAAAATGCATGAAACATCCTTTTCAAACAGCTTCATATGTCAAATGCAAAGCACTTAATATTGCGATGAATGAAATTGAAGGTAAAAATAAACAACTTAGTGAAATATTTTTTGTTTATGTAAGGAAGAGGTCATTGGGGCTTTAAATGAGGGCAGTATTACTTCAGGCAATATTACTTCTTTTTTTTAGGATTGACTTAAACAAGTATGAATTATTGAAGTGGGAGAACTGCATTGAAACCAATTTTTCTGGAGACTACAAAGGCAGGCATTGAAGATATTTTTGGAATTGAGATTCCGTTATCTTATGGTCTTGATTGCTTGGGGGGGGATGGGGCTTAGGGGTTTTTAAGTAGAGTAAATAAAGACTTGTCAAGATGTGGAGTAGTTTTTGTACTACTAGATATAGCAGACAGAAGTGGACATGCTAGCTGGTGTATTAAAATTTAGTATGTGGTTAAGTATGTTTTTACTGAACGTAGCTAAAACAAGTAATGGGGCTTATGGCTTAAAAAAGCAGGGGTGGGGGGGTGGGGATAGAGAGATGATCTGCACCTGAAATGTGCAATAAACTGTCAAGTTAGTTCCAGGCCCAGTTTGAGAACTCATTTTGGGGCACGGAAAGATGCTTATAGTATTACTTTTATTGTGTATCCTACTTAGAACTGATTAAAGCAATCATGGGGAATGTGAAATAGCATCTTAAAAAAAAACTCTTGTGTAGCATTTCTCTTTTTCTGTGGTACAGCTAATATATTTCTGTTCAGTGTTGTGCACGTCCTTAAACTGGTATTTTGAGTACCACAATTTCAGTGGATTCTTCAGGCTGGTTGTTACACTGCTATCCAGGACAACTAGTACCATAGTTGGACACTTCCTGATTTCTTAATTAGGCTATTTTCAGCCCCAAAGGAAAATGAGATTACTCCATGTCAGGCAGTAGTCACTTCTGTTCTTAGGGGAACAGCCTGCAGAGGCACTAAACATGTGTCCCTTTGGAAGTACTCCACCAGAGAAACGGGAATCCAGCCCTCTCCTTGTTCTTTAGGCTAAAAGCTTTCTAAACCTGTGAGCTGGGACTCAGTCTTGTAGGTAAAAGAAAGAGGCAAATATTAGAACAGAGATCTTAAACCGTTTGAAGTTTATACTTATTAGAGAAATTAACAGAATTGGAACGTGCATCCCCTGATGGGGTGCTTTTATTTTGTGATAAAAGCATAACGTGGCCAGCAGGTAGTAGTAATAAGTTTATATACTGGGCCAGTGCTGCTGGATTTATAGTCCTCTTCAGGGAAGAACCTTGAAGGCGAATAAGTAGTGTCTTGGAAACAAGAAATAAATAATTTTTGTTGCATATTGGGAGGGCTAATAAGGCCACAGATAAGATTGAGTGAACTGGAGTTTCCAGGATTATCCAGTAAATCCTGCTTGCCTGTGATACAAATGTTTACCCTAGTTATGGATGAGGAACACCCTAGTGTTCTATGAATATTCTGCAAGAAGGTGATTTTGCGCCGGAAAACTTTGGCTTTTGGGGAAGGTCTGTACTGGCTGTATCTGGACAAAGCACTCATCTCCTGTCATGCATTCAGTACAGTTGTTTGTGCCCTAACCCTCCCACCAGTAAGCGTATTGCTCTCGAAGGGGGAAGCGAAATGCTTGAGGCTTGCATGGAAGGAATTGAGTAATGCCATGTGCAGCTTCCTCCCAGAAATACCCAACCTAACTGTCAAGTAGTGAGCAGGCTCGTTGAATTTAGAAAGGAATAGACTGCTTTCTGACTTTTGTATGTCTTGAGACTTCTGATAGGAAGGGTTGAACGTGACATGTGACTATGCTTGCTCTAAATAACTTGCTGTCTCTTCCTTTGCCCTGGGAATGGAGAGAAGGCAAGTAGCGGTTATACTGCTTTTCATTATTCTGGCTCATAAAATGGGAGGTTGGGTGTTGTGTGATGCTGCGCCTTCCAGCGCTATGTCTTAGAAAGCGGGTTTTTTTTTTTTTTTTAAGTAACGTTCTATCTAGGACCAGACAGGCTGGAAAAATGCCTTTCAAGCGATGATTGCTTTTAAGTTAATTAGTTTCAGTGTTTATAATACACAGAATGCTTGCTTCATTTATTTAATATGATAGCTAAAGCATTGTTTCCTAATAAGAGGAACTTAGAGGGTAAGTGAAAACCTCTAGTCTTTTCTTGCAAAATTGGAACCTCATTCTCCTTTCTTATAATCCTCTTC